ATGTTTAAAATGTTTGAACCTTTATCATATAAAACAAAAGTTTATGTAAAAGAAACCTTTATGCATTTAAAGTAATAAAAATTTCGTTAGATTCAAAATTATTTAGATAAACTGAATTTGTCCGTCGCTTTTTAAACATAACATAACATTTACTATATAAAACAAAAGTTTATGTAAAATTCATTTTTATTCATTTATTTTAAGCTAATTTGTATTATATAAAACTATTAACAAGAGTAGCTCTGTAAAATACATTTGCTTATGCTATTACTGATATTATAACATTTATTTTACACCGATACGACGCTTTTCTGCATAGGATATAAACAAACCAAGAGTTCAAACGATTGTAGCACACCTATCGGCAAACTTGTTTATTAACTCTACTTTTAAGGGTGACAACAATAGACATTCAGAGACCAGATAATCCATTGATTCTGGTTTTACTCTTCTGGTCAGGCGAAAAAGCTAACGCTGCATTTGCGCCACGGTGCGGAAGAAATTCACATTAGTGTTCACTCAGAGTCTAGACTAAGTTTCTCATTTCCCGGTCTTTTGCTTGTCCCGGGATTCCGGGATAAAAGTGAACTGTTTCCCGGATCCCAGGAAATCCCGGGATAGAATTAATTATTTTTAAGATATAAAAAATATCTTGAAATCAAATGATATAATTATTTTTCATTTTTTAAGTCTGCAGCGCTCGCTTCAGTTGCTTTGTTCTCTGCACAAGATGGCTGCCTCCATGGTGAATATATTCGAAGTTGAATTTTTATATTATGTGACAGTAAAGTTATAAGATTATAAGGTTTTATTCACTATATTAGACGGCCGGATGGCCGCGCGGTCAAGATGGCAGCTTACTGCTCTGAGGGCCCCGAAAAATCCTCAGGAATTTTTTGGGAGGTGATCTGTCCGGATATGTCGGGCCTCATCTCTCACCACCATACTGCTTCATTGTGGGCCTAGCCGAACTCATGAGCCCTCTTAGTACCCACAGGGCGAAAAAAGTAAAAAAAAAATCACTGTATTCTGTTTGTACTGATTTTTCTCTTAAAATATTCATTAGTAAATTAAAGTCAGATTTGACAAAACTTGTATATTTAAAATGTTTTATAATCTACTTCAGAAGCTGCACACTAAATTTAAATTATTAATTTTAAAATCCAAACAAGTATTGCATCTCAAAAATAAATTACTTTTAAAAATTAAATTAAATAATTCGCAAAACATTTCGATGCACCAACATCCGTTATTTTGTAACTGCAGCACTGCACCTGCATGTTAAAAGACCTTCAGGAACGATTGCAGCACTGTCGGAAATCGTTAAATGGAGCGAAAGAAGCAGTGCTAAATTTAACAACAAGCTGTATTGATAATGACCGGACGGCCGCTCAGTTAAGGTAATAGCCTACCACTCTGAAAGTCTTGGGACAAATCCGGTCGGGTCAAAACCCCCAGAAATTTTTCAGGGAATATTCTGTCATGATATATGATATATTGGACACGTATACGTTAGACCACCTAGCCGCCGGATTGTGGTGTTAGGTAGTCTAACATATACAGCCTAGATAAAAGGTCCTCTGAGCAGAGGCAACCGTTAGCAAAGTTTATTTTTTTGAGGCTCATTAAAAGTGCGATGGAAGTAGAGGGTAGATTTATTTATGTCTACGATAATATGAACATTTTTAATATACAAGACAGGCTCAATAGAAAACAGGAAAAGAGGATGATGAGCAATAGAGTAGTAATTTTGACTAAATGTTCAAAACAACAGTAACTGAGACCGTCAAAATTGTTGATTCAAGTAAACATAAGATGAAAAAACAATAAAATGCAGATGTTCTCCAACACTGTATGAAGGAAAAGCAGGTACAGTAAGAGGTAACAGCATGAGTTGATTCCAAGTGTAGGAGTAGAGCAGTCACAGTCACAGTTCTATAGAAGATTCTTCATTGCTGGGATGACGGTAAATGCAGGGAGAATCTACAAAACTGTAAAAAGTTGCCATTTGGCGAAAAAACTACTGGTAATTTACCCTATTTGCTACATATTTAATAAACACCAGTAGATTTAAAGGCCTTAGCATTACGTAACGTTTCTGTAAGCACCGCCACCTTGTAACGTATTGTAACAATTATCTGCACATCCTCCCACCATATTTACGTTACAATAATTTATGGACAGTCCCATATCTTAACAAATGGAAATTTCATGTTTTATGAAATTCATATAAACTAACATTCGAGTTCGAATTTTTCAAAAGATCGAACTAACAAAAAGCATACTGAAAAACAATTGTGAAGCTTCGGAAGTGGGCCTAGAATTTGTGCAAAAAAAGAAATTTTTTTCTAATTTTTGTATAGAAGAAAATAATAATAATAATTATTATTATATTTTGTATACTGGCACAATGAAGTGACTTTTCTTCAACACTAGGCAAGTTTCAATCTTTATTCAGTTAGATGGTTTCTTTTCACAATATTATTATATTGTGAAAAGAAACCATCGAACAAAAAATTAATATTTTATGTTCATGTAAGGACATGTCTGTAGAAATTTCTAAGAAAATCGAACTACTCAGATTGAAACAATAGATGAATTTGAGTGCTTAGATTGAAGATAGGAATCGAATTGTCAGTCGGTGTTGACTCATCCCACGATCTGGGTTCTGATCTCGTTACAATTCGTAACGAGGAGGGGGACCAATTAGAGAGCGGGACAAATCAACATCGTCCTACCAGAATTTTCGGTCCGGGACCCAAAGGAAACTTATAAAAACCGCGCGAGAAAGGATGTGACGTTCTTGGTCTTTGGTTCGCAGTGCTCCTCTCGAAGATTCTTGTCATCCGGACGTTCTCCCACGAGAGCTTGTTAGATATTCGGGGACTTGCCTTCACCCTCCCGTGTTATCAAGATCGCTAAAGTCTACCTTGTATCTAGAAGACCTCGGTCTAACTAGTGTTGTGCACCCCGGAGCCGATGTCTTCACGTCACCATCGCCGGAAGAAAAACTCCCGTCAGAACATTTTGTGTTATGGACTTGTTTCTCGACTTCGGATAGGTGTTACGCCTTTTTAAGGATTTGTTGTAGGAGAAATAAAAATTTCTCCTACAACAAAATTTACAATGGAGAACCTGTCTCAGTGAGTTTCTCCACTCCCACACGACAGTGCTCACCGCTCGACTGTCGCGACACTGTAAGGTCGCTGGCTTTAGGGGGCAATACGTTAATTGCGCGTCAGGAAAACCTAGGATCAAACCGTATGTGGGTGGTGGCGGTAGGAGACAAAGATGGCAAGTGTCTTACACGAAAACCGTTTATTTTGACATAAGGTTAACTTACATAATGACAATAACAATGCGATCTAGATCGGCTTTGGTGGGAGCTCCTTGATGTCGACGAACGGGCGCTGACTGGTGTCCCGGGCTTGACAGGAGAGTGTCCGTTGCATAGGGGCCTCTGTCCGGTGATGTTGCGGATGCACGTAGATTTTGGTTACTGATGGAGAACCTGGTCCGAGTGGAACCGCCGAGGATTGGCTGAGAATTCCTCTTCGGAGAGAAGCGGCTGAGCATCTCCTCTTTGTCCTTGAGATTCGGGGATTTTATAAGATTTTTTCTGAATCTCACCCTTTTGATTGGTCCCGTTCACCCTCTCCCTTACTCCTATTGGTCATTCTTTTGTTTCTAGGCGAAACTTAAGACCGATCCGGGTCGGGAAAAGGTCGGAGAGGTGATGACGGGGCTTTTAATGTTTGCGCTCGTATTTTTCTCCGTTATGGCCCTTCTCTCGGACATCTTTGAACTTAAACAGTCCACCAGATGTTCCTGTGGCCATTTATCCCCTACCGCGTTCAGACTTAACAGATGTCCCTTTTGTTCTTGGACCCCCCTTTTTCTCGATTGCTTCGACCCGACACTTGTTCGCCAAAGCTCTTTCTCTCTGTCGACATTCCCCCTGTTGTTTATCATCGCGTCGCGTTTGTTTTACAATTCGAAAAAGTGTTCGTCCCATCTGGGTTCTGTCATTAACACACCCTCTTGACCCAATTCTATCTTCGAAACTCTCTGACGTAAAAGTTTCTTAATTAGTCGTAATTTTTGTAATAGTCGTGCTTTTACGACCCTCACACACTTTTCCACCAATCGGCAAACCTCACGCAATGACGACAGGTTAAGATTATCTATCAAAAATCTACTTTGATATTCATCCATATGAGACGTAGATTTAAGCTGTCATTTATGCCAGATGGGTACTGGGAGATGTTATAAAGCAAAAAGTTTGTGCCATTACTATTTAGTAATGGCACAAACTTTTGGATTTACTCCAGGATTACTGTTATATTTATAACAGTAGTGGAAAGGAATGAATATCATAAAGGCAATTTACTGCTAATCTCGAATATCAAAAATTCCTGGAGTTTCTCGCCCGGATTCGATTTCAGGTCCCACAGAACAGCAAACTGACATCTTAATTTTTAAAATTTTTTATAATAGTTGAAGTTTAGTTCTCTATCCTTCATCAATCACCAGAGAGAGCTAAATTAACGCATGGGCATACCCAGCCATGGCCAGTGGCTTCGTGTTCTTGGGTCTTATCTCACTGCTCATATTTTTTTCTTTGTTTTAAATTTAGAATAAAAATATAATGTCTTTAGAAAGCGAGAATCTCAAAAATGCTTAAAACGGCCTCGATAATTCCCATTGGAGAATATCGCATTATTACGCAACTTAAAAAATTATTAAATCAATTAATTAAATTTTAGTGTTAAAAGTTTATGAACAATAAAAAAGATGTCAATTTTGATGTCTGTTTTAACATATTGTTGTTTTGTTACATAATAAATTTGAGTAGAGAAATATAAATACAGCATATAATACAAACATCTTATAATGTAAGTAGTTGTAAAATAAGAGACATACTTCATACGTTAAAGAATTAACAAATAAATTTATTATATTAAATCATCATTTACATAATTATTTTGAAATGAGTTTGCATGAAAATCTCTAAATGGACTTCATTTTATTGCGATCAATTTTTTACTTCTTTTTTATCGGATGATTTTGCGATAGCCCAAGGTTGAAGCTCTGCAGTAGCTCCTAATAAAAATATCATACCACTAATAAAATAAAAAGAAGATGCCATATAGAATACGTAACTCCATCGAACCATATCTCCTTGCTAAATAATTTAAAAATAAATTAATATAGTTTAAAATATACTGACAAACGCAAATTTTATTATAGCTTACATTTTCGTCTAATATAAGCCCTACAACATAAGGTGAGATTATTCCTGTGATGCTAGACAAACCGTTTGTTAATCCGTAGAGAACACCTGAAATTAAAAATAAATTTTTTCTTTAATCTAAATTTATTCTAATTTTTCTCTTGTTGAATGTTGTTATTGAGAATGTTTTTCTAATGCTTTAAATGTATCAGCTTAAAAAATCTACTGTAATAAAGAATTTTATTTGTTAGTTAATCAATATGATGGATAAAAACCACTAATCCAGAGTGGGGTGGAAGGATCATATCTTTGATATTTTAGACCTTGATTTTTGACAAAAGTCGGTAGTTGATCCTTTCTTGCTTTGGTCGCAGAATTACACTTATTAGCTAATGAGTTGGTTGCGTGTAGTTTTCCAATTTATTTTTCTATCTGTGTAATATAGAAAGTCTTCTCGGGCGATATCATCCTTTACAGATCGCCCATAAGTTGCATTGCATTATCACATCAATCGAATCCAAATCAACATAAAGAATATTCGAAAACATTAACTAAATCTGAAGTTTAATTTCGAAATATGCTGATACTTCAAATTAGAAACATCAGCATGTTTGATTGACCTTCAATATCCATATACAGGTATACTTCGCCTTACGTCAGTAATTGGTTCCAGTAGAGGCGACGTAACTCGATAGTTCTCCCTGCTTGGAATGACAGAAGCTAGAAAAGTATGTTTTACTATCGATTAAAATGTATTTTTTCAAACTTGGTTTGGATTATGCTCATCATTTGTAGTCTATGAAGCCATAAATCAGTGTATAAAAATCCAGCGTTAACAAGACTTTTGTAAATAATAAAATGAATTAATGTTGTATGTTTGTTTATCTTTGTCATTCTTCATTCAGCATGTGGAAAATTACGTTTATACGTTTATACACCAAATTTCTAACGGACTTATATATTTAGCGAGTCCAAAAGTTCATTAACTTTTGGACACGCTAAATTCATTAGGACGTTTAAGGTAAAAGTAAAATATAGTATACTAGTATCATATTGTTTATGTCTCGGAAAGACTGGTAATATGCTACATGGAAATCAACTACTTAAACATATATCTATTGATAATTTTTTTCCTTCATCTTGTAAAATATGTAGTAAATCTATATTTACAAACGTCATAATTATACGTTGTCCGGAACGTATGTATTATAATAAAAGTAATAAATCTATTATAAAGTCATGGATAGGATATTGATTCCTTGGAAAGTGAAATCTCAATGACATGAAAGGAGAAAAAGAAAGGGCGTGTTAAATGATGAGAGTAAATTTTATGTATTTAAGAAATGAATTTTAAATGTTTACGAGCAATTATTTATTGTGAGACTGTCACAATGACTGCAATTTTTAATCATATTTTTAATTAATTCAAATAACTTCACTTTCAGTTTCATCAAAAGTTCGTATAAAATTAATTGGGGCCTCTAAGTTTCCATTTCTGGTCTCATCCTCCATCTAACTAACTCCGTTCTCGAGATTAAGGAAAGACAGATGGACAGAAACGGATGGCAGTGGAAATTTATAGGTCTATAATTTTTGAAGTTGCAGCCCAATAATTCAAATTTTTAGGATTGTAATTTAAAATTCTAAACAATCTTTATTGAAAATATGTAAAATTTTTAATAATCATTATTAATTAAAACAAATCTCTGAAATTAACAAACGACAATAAAATAAAAACAAGATATAAGTTGAAAATAAAGCATAAATTATCATACCTGCAAAATCGGGAGCCAAGTCAAAAACTAACGAAATATCTCCTGCAACACAAAAGCCAAAGAATCCCATTGCTGCAGTTAAGCACATAATTACTTTAGTACTATCACAACCTAAGAAAGTGATAGCTAGAATACAAAACGACGGACCAAGAGTACCTTTAAAAGAAAAAAAGATGAAATATTATATATAACGTAATTACTGTGATGAGATCAATTATTAATAATGAAATAATTACATATAAAAACAGGGAAATAGTATTTTTACCAAATGCTTCAAAAATTTTTCTCGTAGTAGTCATACTGAAGAATTTACGCCTAACAAAATCTGCCATAAATCCACAAAGAAATATTGTTATAGCATCTACTGAGTAAATCAGTGCATTGATAACGCCATTCTGTAACATTAATTAAAATTGCGTTTTAATTTATTATATTGATATGATTAAGTAAATAATAGAAACGTACTGTACCTGTTGAATAGGAAAATGAAGTACTAATTTCAAATATGATGGCAGTTTAGTCAACAAGGAATAATAACCAAAACCCCAGCATATTTTTGTGAAAGAACTCACCCATATTATTCTGGAAGTTAATATAGCTTTCCATGGAACTTTCGGCTTCTAATTTTGAGATAAAATTGCATATTTGAGTTTATCTATAAAGTATCAAAATTCATCCAAAATAGTGATATAATAGAAAACAAGAAGATTCAGCTTTGAAAAAAAAATGTAAAATAGAATGTTTTCATTATTGTAAATATCTCAGACGAATCAAAATATTAAAAGATTTTAATCAAATACAGTATTACTAACAAAAAAAAATTATTTTACACTTTATTTTTAATATTTTAAACAAAATCTATTAAAAGATGAAAAACGATGATGGCATAGCCAAGGCAGTTAAAGGAGTCGGCCTGCTCCTCTAGGGCAGACTCTTTTAACTGCCCAAAATCGCAGAAATTTTACAGGGATCTGTCCCGAATATGTCGGACCTGTCTTTCACCACCCAACGGCTACCATTATGGGCTTGGTTAATGCTAGTTAGGCGAGTTATGATTATTATAATGTTTATATCATTCGCTATTTTTACACATGATAAGTCTAACTTAGCACACTTCTTAGCACCACTCGTTTAGCCAATTAGATTTCTTATTTAGCACTTTGCGTTACTGAATACGGCAAGGGTTATCTTTTGTCTTCGAGAAACAGTGTCTACATCATAACTGGTCATCATTATTATTATACACGTAAGCAAATTATTAGCTAATTAGCTAATCATTTGTTTACGTATTAAGATATCATCGCATCTCCCCAAACGCGATTCCGGGCGCTGTACCCTGATCCCTTAGCCCTCATCTTTTCTTTTAGGAAAGAATAACGTCAACACGAGAGAGACTCTCCTCCGGAGATAATTCCGAATCACTCGTAACGATCTTATCTTTGCTGTTGATGTCACGATTACACTAGGGGTGCAGATACATTTGGAATCAAACTAATTCAAGATTACTTTGATCTTTCAAATCGTGTAAACAAACGAACTATAGCGATCTGATCACTCACTCTCTATCCGCATATACAAACACCATCTTAGGATCAACTGGATCGCGATTAAACAAATCCGAGCGGAGGGTAGGATCGTTCGGATTGGATAAAAATGATTACAGATGACGACCTCATGGTTAAAGTCAAACTTATAATTGACAGCAAAGAAATATGTTTAACTGTCGACAACGAAAAATATTTAACTTATAAACGGTAAGTAAAAACATCATTATTAAAATATTCGATAAACGTGGAAGCGTGAAAGCTTCCACGCTTCCACATTTATCAGATATTTTAAGATGATGTCGCATACCAGAAAAGAAAGAAGAAATTAAGAATATTGTAAAAAAAAACAGCATAGGAAAAATACTTTTAACATTAGTATCATTAAATCACTTCCAAATGCGTACGCCTACAGAAAGTAATTGTAGTAAACAATCCTTTAATCATTGTCATAAATAGAAGCTATATATGAAACTCATAGCTGGTATTAATTCAAAAATGGAAATAAAAAATAGTCTATGTAGGAAAAGACACAAATACAAGTAATGAATTATGTGCAAGTAAATACGCTACAATTAAAATTACTTATGTATTATATGTTATTCCTTAAAAAACTAAACTGTACTGTTTTAAAATGCTCTAGACATATCTACGTTTAAAGCAATGATGATAACACATTTTTTTTTCAATTACATTACACACACACGCGCGCGACACACACTTAAGTGGATTTGAGTAACAAAAAATCGAAACGATATTCAAACCATGCACAATAAATGCATATATGCCTGCAATGAGCACACTTCAAAGCATGAGTTTTTACTTAATAATAATGTATTTTTTGTGTTTAGAATAAATTTTTTGTTTTACGAAAACAATATGTTTGTATTTACTTTTCACGGAAGATAATTACATTTCTTTTACTACCTTTTCTACTTTTACTACAGTTTTTCCTCCTACCTGTACCGAGTACATTCTAATCATCCACATTAGATATAACGAATTCGAGACTACAGACGAAAGATTGATCGAAAGACAACTATCTGCTCATCTCTAACAAACAAAGATTCTTCGAGACAGTGGCGTAGCGTAGTGGGGGCGGCAGGGGCGACCCGCCCCGGGCGGCACTTTTAGGGGGCGTCAAAATTTTACAATAAATAATAATAATATCTTGTAAAAATTTGAACCATTTCATTTCATATTTTTGTCGCACCTATGATTCGGATCGATTGAAATGAGCATGGAATTGTTCATTACTTATTCTGTGACGAAACTGAATTTTAGTCTTTTAAATTGAGATACCTAAATAAGGGGGCGGCGAAATTTTCTTCCGCCCCGGGCGGCTGACACCCACGCTACGCCACTGCTTCGAGAGATAAAGTCGTCCAGGGGCAGTATTCTGGTCATTGTCTCTCTTCCAGAGAAAATGTCGCTGACCGTCTACGTCTTCAGAGATCATCGCTTTTCCCCAAACGCGATTATGGACGATTATCTCTTAAAGATTATTTTGTTCCAGACACGACAAAGAATCCAGACACGAACAAATAGCACTCTTATACAATTGTATAAGAGAACGTTCTCTATCTCGGAAAGAGGAGGCCTATTTCGAGTTAGAGATAATACCCTGATTTTGACGCGATAATGAATTTCACTTGAGGTTTCGTCTCACGGAAGAAGCTACATTATGGTTTTATAATGAAATACGAATTAACTTAATTTTCATTTGTTGAAAAGACAACATTTTCAACATTATAATTCATAAAATCTATAAAATATACTTAGGCTATAAATGTGAAAACTAGGTGCTCTATAATTCTTTACTCTGCATTTTGGAATATCTTACAATTTCATTGATTAAAATTCTGTACTGTGTTGTATGCGCAAATAACTTGACTTACAATCATCTACTTTGTTGATTGTTACTTCGAGTTATTTGCAGAACAAAACTCTCGTATTGACGTCACTCGTTTGTGAAAGAAGAGACGAGAGATAAGTTACTAGAACACACCTGCAAGACTTCTCTGAGTAAAAGGTGGCCTTAGGAGAAGGCACTGCACTGTTTAAAGCGTCGTCGCAAAAGGGCGCGCTGCAAGCAACTGCCCGAATAAATTTCGTGTTTATTTCAGATACTGTTTTAGTCGGCGCTACTTGCCGATCAAACCAGTATAAGAAATAATCGTTTATAATAATTTATAGACTTATTATAGAATAAAAATAGAAACATTTCGTGATTTTATCTTTCTTTGGGAAGCTGCATTTATGTAGTGGCTTATCTCCAGCCACCTCTGCTTATATAAGAAATTCCAAGATTTTCAATATATTATTTGGGACGAGAGAAATATTAAACTTTTTGGTGCTAAATTATCTCCATTGAAAATCTGGTGTTTACGCAATAACGAACATCTTTTCAATGATGGACCAGGCACAAAAATAATTTAAATTATAAGTTTTGTAATACTTTATGTTGTTGAATCCTTTCGTAATTCTTATTCATTTCGATCTACTTCAACGCTGTCAGATTCAAATGTATTATGTCTACTATATTACTCATATTATATTGTACAGTACCTTGCGTAAACAAATCAAATCTTTTTTCGGCTTAAATACTACTTTTGGAAATCCTGCATGAATTTTAATTACGAAAAAATATTTCGGAAATAAACTTTTCAATTACTTTTTCTACCGAACTGATATTTGGTATATTTTCGTTTAGAAATATTAGCTCTTTATCAGATATTCTGGGATGATCTTGTGGTCTATCATATATTACAAATAACAGAAATACGGAAAGCACAATTCCAATCGTCCCTGAAATGTAAAACCATATTTAATAAATGAACAATATTTGTTCCCAATAAATATATAACATTTATTTACCAAAAATGTAGAAGGTAAAAGACCAATCCCCTTGTTTACAAAGATATCCAGTCACGATTAAACCAGTGATTGATCCGACTTGAACACCACTTATAGAAACTGATGAAAGTGTTGTCTTTTCGCTTTCCGGACTCCAATGAGCTAAGAGTGTGAAAGTGGAATGAAATATAAGTCCCTGTAATTAAATTATTTTTTAAAGAACGTTGATGAATGAATCAATACATTAAAATAGTTTTATGCTTACGTGAGCAAATCCAATAATAATTTGAGACAAAGATATGATTGAAACACTAATTTCGGCAGAGAAAGGTGTCAAAAGTACGAACAATGATGACAAAAAGGTGCAAATCACGTAAACTATCTTTGAGCGGAACTTGTATGTAATGGCACCCCCTGTAAACTGAGCAAACACCATGCCGTAGAAATAGCTTCCTAAAATTATTCCTTGTGTTGGCTGTGACCAAATGTAGGAACCCTGGAAAAAGAATAGCATATAAAATGTAAATATTGAATAAATAAAATACTTAGGTAACCGATTTCATACAAATACACACACACATATATACTGTATATGTGTGTGTGTATTCATATATATATTCACACATATATACTGTATATGTGTGCGTGTGTGTGTATTCTTTTAAATTCTGAGTAAGTAAAGAGATACAGCCAAAAGTTGTTACATTTTTCTTATAAAATCTTATTTGTAGAATCTAAAATGATTTAAAAATCATTAGATTTAGTTTTTTAAGACTCTGAGAAGAATATTTTAAAATGCACCAAGAACTGTAATTCAGTATTTAAAATGTGTGTTCGAGAGATAAGTTAATAATTTAGTGACTGCTTATTGATTAGTTTCTAGTTTTGACTCTTGATCACACACTCTTTATTTTGAATACACAATAAAACTTTCACCACAGATTTGAATTATGAATTCAAGTAAGGAAAACGCTTTGCTGCTTTTTTCAATTATGTTATCTTCAAGGATCATATCAGTACATTCGAGAAAAAAAATTATGAGTGTTGTTTCATATTGTATTGTATTCAATGTTGTCACTATTTGTAACTTTTATGATCTAAGCTTCAGTTTTTCTCAAGTCATCTGCTTTGAATATAACCCTGTATCTATTTTTATATTAATGAATTATTTTTCAAGCACTGTTCTATCAGAAAAGCTTGTGAATTACCGTATTACATTATACTGTTTTCATTTTTATTTCTCTGCCCTGCGAAGACAAGGGGCTTTTTCTATGCCCATCATTGGTTCGTCCAAACCAATAAGGTTGGCGACCAGGTGGGAAAGAACGGAACATGGTGTATCCGAGATCTACTCTCTATAAAATACTCATATAATCCGGATTTTATCCCGGGTCCTTCAAAACCCGCTTCCTGCCTCAACCGCTTCGGCCATCCGGTTATTATTATGTTATAATAATGATAATACACTCGGGAAGAAACTAATTGCGGCACAATAAGATTACTTTTGTTTTCAAATTCTTCAACTTTCATAAGAATTCGTTGGTAGTTTTATGAGAGCTTAAATATAACTTCTTACCTCTTTGTAATTTAGCGTATCATTTTGTTGTAACGGTTGCGGACAATCTTCTGAATAGGTCTCATTATGCATAATATAGATAGCGGTATGATTAACCATAGCTAATATTGCCACACTTAACGCAGCTCTTTGACAATGCATCACCGTAAACACCAAAAACAAAAATAATACCAATACGTAACGAGCGGAGATGTAAACTGAAAGAGAAGCATTCTATTAATGTATTTCGTAGGTCTAAAATTCTTTGTATTTAGAAATTCTTCAATTTAAATAATTAAGAAATATTCTTAAATTTATGGAAAGCCTTTTATTGATGCTAGAATATGTTTTCATAATAATATATATAGAAAAATATTTTCCCCTAGTTAGTCTATGTTATCGGAATCATAATATATAAACGTTAAAGTTAATTGTTTAGTCATTTGAATTCTTCCGTAAATTTATTACAATATTTCAATTTTAATACGGTATATGTTCATACCAAATTAATCAAGAAAACACAAAAACATTTTGATTTAAATTAAAATATTAAGTTAAATATAACAGGTTATTAATACAGAAATATATTAAAATACGTTTATTATTTTTAAATAACGAGTGATTTTATCGTGAGGAGAAGTACAGTAATTATTTGTTCTTTGGATAAAGACTAGAAATATAATAAATAATATATCTAATGTATTTATAAATTACAGTTCAACTTTTCGTGGCTTTCTGAGGTATTTGTAACAATTGAAATTATCTCTCAATACATGAAACACTGACGGAATAAAAACACTGTTTACCATCCATTCAATCAGATTATAAAAATTATAAAATCATCAATAAGTCTATTTACGTGTCTGTGGATATCTGCGAAGTGCTCTGAAAAAGGATTTTAAAAATGCATAAAAATTCATTAGGAAACTATTATTTGGTGAAATCATAATATTTCTTCTTATTTGAAGAATAAGAAGAAATAAATAGCAATAAAGAAACAATGATGTAATACAAAAGCTCGTGCCAGTGTGTTAAAGCCATCAAGCTTGACGACCGGATGGTCACGCAGTTAAGATGATTGGGGAACCGGAATCGAATTCGAACGGGTCGAAAAACTCAGGAATATTTAGGAGGGTGGACTGTCCGAACATGTCGAGCCCACCAACCAGCCAAAAGAAAAAATGTTGATCTTGATCCCAGCATAAAAAAATACTTTATTTTATGTAAAATATGCAATTTTTTTACAGCATTTCATTATAATATCGTTTAAATTACGTTATATTTTTTGAAAAATCGAATAATTCTTTATTTTTCACTATCAATAAAATCTAGAAACTTTAAAAATANTCCTTTAGAGATCGCCCATTAGTTGCATTGCATTATCACATCAATCGAATCCAAATCAACATGAAGAATATTCGAAAACATTAACTAAATGAAGTTTAATTTTGAAATATGCTGATACTTCAAATTAGAAACATCAGCATGTTTGATTGACCTTCAATATTTATATACAGGTATAACACGCCTTACGTCGGTAATTGGTTCTAGGAGAGGCGACATAACTCGAAACGACGTAAGTCGAGGTATACCTGTATCAACAAATGAATCATGCGAGTTGCTATTTTTTAATTATATAGACCTAAGCATATGATTCAAAAATGAAAGCAAGAACTTTAGCTGAATTAAAAAGGCGAAACATGTAATTTTCATTTTATAATAATTTTATCAAATATAAAAATGAAATTTTTATATTTGGTTTGCACTATTTAATTGGATATCTTCTTTGGGAAATACATTACAATAAGGCAGTGCTTCTCAACCTTTCTGAGGCCGCGGAACACTATTCATATACTTTTTATTACAGGGACCATTAGCATCATTACATTCAAAAATTGATAAGCAATTCCGTGTTTACTATTCTCGAGAAACAATGAAGCAATAAACTCATAAATTTTAATATATTGAATAAGATAGAAGCATGGAATTATCTACGAATATAGCAATGGGAATGAATTTGAATAAAAACTTTAAAATCTTTTCTTTCGTGGAACACTCGAGGTAAATGTTCCACGGAACACTGGCAAAAATTCACTGCAGTTTGGTCTTGTTTTACACGGGCGTTGTGTATCAGCAGGTTTGGCATAAAACGAAATTTCGCGTAAATTTGTGTTCCTCCTCAAATAGTCTCAGACGATGATCTAGTAATTGTTTAATCATTTAAGTTAGTAGGAAAGCGTTAAAATGTGTTTAAAATGTTGTACTTGTATTTTTACTACAATGAAAAACAATTAAATCTGACGTTTCTGAAAATACAGTGCAAAATTTTATTATATTGCATAGAATATTCTTCTTGAGAAAAATATATTTGCTATTCAGTGTAATAAATATATTTACTACAGGGAGTAGCATCCTATAGTTCTCCCTGTTTGGAATGACAGAAGCTAGAAAAGTATGTTTTACTGTCGATTAAAATGTATTTTTTTCAAACTTGGTTTGGGTTATGCTCATCATTTGTAGTCTATGAAGCTATAAATCCGTGTATAAAAATCCAGCGTTAACACTTCTGTAAATACTGTAATAAAATGAATTAATGTTGTATGTTTGTTTATCTTTGTCATTCTTCATTCAGCATGTGGAAAATTACGTTTATACGTTTATACACCAAATTTCTAACGGACTTATATATTTAGCGAGTCCAAAAGTTCATTAACTTTTGGACACGCTAAATTCATTAGGACGTTTAAGGTAAAAGTAAAATATAGTATACTAGTATCATATTGTTTATGTCTCGGAAAGACTGGTAATATGCTACATGGAAATCAACTACTTAAACATATATCTATTGATAATTTTTTTCCTTCATCTTGTAAAATATGTAGTAAATCTATATTTACAAACGTCATAATTATACGTTGTCCGGAACGTATGTATTATAATAAAAGTAATAAATCTATTATAAAGTCATGGATAGGATATTGATTCCTTGGAAAGTGAAATCTCAATGACATGAAAGGAGAAAAAGAAAGGGCGTGTTAAATGATGAGAGTAAATTTTATGTATTTAAGAAATGAATTTTAAATGTTTACNGAATGTAATTTTATCGTTTAACTGATTCTGACAAATATAAAATTTATTGAAATTTATTATATTTTAACGACTTAATTATATAAGTTTCAACATTCACTTAATTTTTAATAAAAAATAAAATAGACTTTAATTAAAATAAATTTATTCAAATAAAACATGTATAAAAGTATTTTAAAATATATATTTAAGATAACTTTACATTTATTTATAAAGAATAATAGTTATCGTATCTATATAAAATATATAACTTACCTTTGAATTTCATATTCATTCTCTCAATTTTCTTACAGTTTCTACTGTGTTAATGTAAGACTTCACAACTGTTTTAATAAAAGGCAGTTTACGATATAAATTCAACCTCACCGGAATATGAGTTGAAACGTCATTATCTCTTTAATTTAGTAATGCAATTTTTACAGCTGTTAAACTAACCAAGCTTCTCCTTTGTTATTTAAATAAATTATTATCTAATTATATAATTATCTGAAGGTAAAGCCTGGATTTATTCACAAGTAGAATAATTTATTTTTCTTTCTGATGTCAACCGACATCACGTGTCATTTTATATGCAAACCTCGTTCTCGTCACATGAAATTTATACTGATATACAAAGTAGTTAATTAATAAAGTGAATATGGAAACCAACGTCTGAGGAATTCCTAATGGATTTGGAAGGAATATATATTATATAATTATCGTATATGTCGTATGTATTATGTACAGTACTGTACATTATATATATATTAGATGGCCGAGCCGGTTCGATCCGGACTGAATCCAGTCATATGTCCTACCCCGTCCTTTACGGTCTGGCATGATGGGTATGGATAAAATTCCCTCTTAGTGTCCACGTGGAAAAATACTCATGATCTATTTATGCTTTTCAGAAAAATATAAATTTCGAATTAATTTTTAAAAATATAATACATTACACATTTTTGAATTAATGAAATAAAATGTAATTCGGAGAACTCCTAATGCAGTAGAATATTTTTAAAAATGACATACATGTTAATTTCATATTACATTTTTTAAATTTTCAAGAAAATGAAGAGAATTTAAGGAGGAGAGAATTTTAAAAAATATATACGGGGTTCAAAGGAAAGTTCATACATCTATGACTTTTAAACCCCACGATGTAGCGCCATGGAAGTAATTGTCGAGTAAAGGAAAGTGACATTGCGCATTCCATTGAACGCAATTTTAGTGCTCTAGTGGCGATATATTCCTGCTTTTCACATATAAAAAATAATTGATGTTTGCTCTGTGTTTAGTGCAATATTCTACCAGTTTTATTCAAATAATAATCGTTGCTACTATTTTAACAGCTTATTTTCTTTGCAATGGTTATTTCCTTTTAATATCCGTTTTATGTTTTTTATTAATAAAGTAATTAAATATCTACAATACAACGTATTATTCAATATTCAGTGTTACGCTTGTTATCTATATTAAATGAAGTTTTACGTTACGCCATATACAAAAGTAGGACAATCGACTTGACATTTTTATATTTAATTTCGTTATTTGTATAAATTAAAACTTTTATACATTCAAATCAGATTAAAAATAGTTAATTCTCGATATAAGCCCTAATTAATATCACCCCCATAAATGCCAATGAATTGTTGTAAACATATTCTCATAAATATTAAATAGTAATTCACAGATACCGAAGGAACCGCTAACGGTATAATTTGCGATACAATCGACCTTGTTATCATAAAATTACGTGACTTGCAGAATTTTAAACTAAAACTTGTGTGTACATTTAATTACTGCATACAATTCTTATTGTTTATGGCACTTTAGTCAGTAGCTTAGTAGGGGAGGGCTGCCGTCCCGGGCAGTACCTTTTGTCTACTGCAACGAAAAGTTTAGTTTGGTCGGGATAGTAAATAAATACAGTAGACTCCAGATACAATTTTATTTTCACACAAACCCTTGTTCAAGGGTTCCCTTATGTTCCCTTATTCATATGTTACCTATATCAATAAAGTAGTTTTCAAGTGAACATAGTCTTTAAGGACTACCAAGTGCTTAGTTATGCCTAATTAATAACACCATTGATAACAATGTCCTAATTTTTTCCACAGGTTTTTCCCTATTGCTCTACCTCTTTCTCACATTTTACCTATGTAAGTTTGAATTGTATTATGTTTTGTGATTTTCGAGAGATATAAACCTTAGCTATTCCATTGCCTTCAGTTTATTTCCACACTCTATTCAGTGCAAATTTTAGAGCCGAACAAATAATGGCGCTAAATCAAGACTATATTTAAAATACAGTATTACAAAACAATAACAGTTAAATAAAAACTTTACTTTTATAAAATACAATTTATAAGGAAATAAAATATTTCTTAATAATTTTTTTCTAATAAAATTTCTGTTATATATAATATTGTGTAAAAAGAAAATTTTAAATTATTTTCAATCTTTAATAAATAGTGATATAGCTAAATAATTATATTTATTTTAATACTGTTTAAGCTTTTAATTTCTTTACAGATCGACAGTTATACTGATAACATTGTTTACTTGACAAGTTCATAATTCAACTTTATTTATAACTAGAGAAAAACACTTTGCTAGTTTTAGATCATAAATCTTCGTATAATCAAAACAAGATCATTGATAAATTCTTTTCTAGACATAAGATAATTTAAATAATTATCTGATTAAATATTTTACTATACAGACTATAGACTAAATCGCTATAAATAGATAATAGTTGAAATTTTATATGAAAAAAGTTTAAAAAAATATTTATTCTATATTAGTATATCTAAATTGAATTAATAATTACATTAATTTATTTTAGATTTTAGTAATGTAGTATAAAATGCAAAGAAATCTATGATTCATTTTTTACGATCTAATTTATTTTTGGAAAATCATCGTGAAGTGAGCTGTTGTTTTTCCATAGACTATAAAAAATTGAAGTTACGTTCCAGGATCCAGGCCGTACCCAGATGCAAAAGAGTACAACTAAAACTACCAAACACTGATAGTTAATCGCAAATTCACGCCTGCAACGGACTAGCCAAGTAAACTTTTCTCGGTTTCTCGCATGGGTAACACCTAAATAGAGGCCAGTTTCTCCATAAAACGTCTCCCGGAAGGAACCTCCCTTAGCCCAAGTATTACGTTGCCGTATCCCATCAATCCTACAAAAAAACACGACACAAAGCATAATGGAGAATTTATTGGTAGCTGTAAATATGAAGGATAAACGTCAACGATTATAAAACGGGAGTCCAATGTATTGTACTGTGTAAAATAATAAATTACATATTATGGAATAGTAATAAAAAAATTTGAGTTTTTATTAGAATTAAAGAATATATAAAATTCAATTATAAGCAAAATATTTCACATTAGTAAAAATTACTTAGTTTTCGCCCTGATCTTTCTCTATATAAATTACAAATTATATAATTTATATATTTCTGAAGAGGGATAAATATAAAATAAGTTACATTATCATAAATCAGCTGTTAACTCTTAAATTTCGAAACTTATACGATAACCACGACAAGCTAATTTTATCTAAAATAGTAAAATAATAAACTCTTATCCTTTATATAAAAAAATATAAATTATTGAAGATTATATTTTCAACTTTAAAAATAAAGATTAGATTACGTTGATGTTAATAAATCGATTAATTTAATATTCTTTCATCTAAAATTTTACTCGAAAAACTTAAATTATATATTTGGTTTATACATATCATAAATATTACTTTATATATTTATTTGGACATATAGGATATCACAATGATAGGCATAAAATAAACAGAAATTATAGGAAATTCTTTAATTCCGAATTCTCTGTGTAAAGGTGTCGTTAATGTGTTTCTGTGTTTATTGTTCAAATAACTGGGAAACGCGGAGTGGAGTAGTGAAAAAGTTTGGAATTAATAAATATTTAAGAAAAATACCGCGTATTATGGAACCCAAAAGACATATACTATTTTAAAATCAAAAAGAGTGACTCGTGAAATGAGATCGCGATTAAATTCGACTGCATAAATAGTGAAAGCTAAAATGAACAGTTTTTTGTATTTTTTTTCTTCTTTGCTGAATGAATCATTAGAAAAACAGCAGCTATAAACATTGCTTCCAACATTTCGTCGAAATACACACGTACGAATATGGAGTGTTGTCAGCATATAGCATATACATATATTTCAATAAAAATGTACTGTATTGCAAAACGATCCAAGCACATATATTTGCAACACGCACGAATGTTTGCGTGCTCACGCAATACGCGCTGAAGTCTGTACGCACCTTAAACTTCTCCCTAAACCGAAAAATCGACAATTTCGGCGAATGCTGTATACGAACTTATGCAGTTTGTTACGCCGTATAACAAACAACTTTCAAAATCTTCTGGTAAAGATCCCTTAATGAAATCTAGCGGATCCGCAAATATCCCAGCGAATTGGAGGACGGTAAAGCGCAAAGATTTCTGGTAAAAGACAGTCACCATATCCTCTATTAATTTTAATCAATGTCACCGTGTATTTTAATCGATAAGTACACTTTTAGGAATCCGCTAGGTGGTTGTAAAACAGAAGCGAAAAATAAAAACTGAGGACGATTCCTCCAAACTATCGTTTTTTAAATCGCGCGGATCCGCTTTCTGGAAAAGGCAAGAGCGATTTTATTTATATACCTACTTTATACATCTAGATACCGGGATGGAGTAAAATGTTTTCTGGTAAAGGGTGTCGTAAAAAAAAAATTTAAGAAGCCCTGTCGTCAAAGGTGGATCTAGATTTTTCGGGGCCTAGGATTTATTGAAGTCCCATGGGGCCCCATTTTTTGTTAGATTAAGAATCTTTAAATTGGGGTTTGAAATTCATTTTTATTAACATCAAAATAATAATTGAAATATATTTATTTGTGAAATGGTGTTGAATGATAAACTTTATATCTGATATAAAAAAAACATAAATAGAATATTAAAAATTTATGATAATAATTCAATTTCTGTGGGCCCTTGACACTTCGGGGCCCAGGGCTTAATCCCTATTAGTCTCTATGTAGATCCGCCTCTGCCTGTCGTATAGTACTGTATCGAATGATATACGCTATATGTTTAAAACATTTTTAATAATTTTTGTAAATAGCAATTTTATCAACTGGTATAAATTAATATTATTTCGTGTCATTTGGTGATTTAAAACTAACGAAAAACCATTTTAGCAATGATATAAATTGATATAATTAATGATGATAAAATGATATGTTTACTATTATAAAATTGATATCAATTTAATCCCATTTATAGTTTTATATAAATGTACCTTTTCTTTAAAAAAACCTTATTACCATATTTCCTGTAATAACCACTCGCGTAAATATTATTTTTATAATAATCGCCCATTTCACTTGTATGTGGAAATAAACTACATCGGCTGACATAAATACCGGTATATTGGTGATGCCAGATATTTTCGAATAGCTAAGTGAGAAATACG